CTGTGTAATGTATGCAAAGCTGATTTTTACCTATTTTTTGTAACGTATTTATATTCAAAGACCATTTCAGTGACTCTCATGACAGCCATAACAAGATATGATCAAATTATATAGTTAAACTGTATTCATTTTTACATAAAATACTTTCCTTGAGAACCTGATTGTCTGTATTGCATTTAGGTTGTTCGTTTCATGGATTGTTTTATGAAATGTTAATAAAACTCTTTTCCATATTTTTGGTTTTTCCAACTCTCACTACAGTCCACATTGTTGGAAGACGTGTTTTGGATTATTGAGAAAATGTTTGCAAGGTTTATTACGTGTTAACACTTACACTGCCATAACATTGTAACATAACATAACATTAACATTGGTGTACCAGAATCCAACATTCAAAACTGCAAGTGCGCAGTGTCCCTCCATTTTCATATGAGGAAACAGTTAGCTGATTTGACCTCATTACAAGGCAGGCGCTGTTAAATCTCGCTCTCTGAGCCCATTTGTATAAAAAAAACAGAACAGATGTACAAAAACCTCTGTATCTCCATGGCTGTCTGTCTCTTTGAATGCATCACTCTTTAAAGCATGAATTTGTCTATAATGCACATTTGAATACATACAACAACATAGCTTAGAGCTGTGATGATTGATATGTAAGCTAGAAGAGGCTAACACACAAATAAATACCACGCAGTAATGCTGCTGCATGATAAGCTACCAACATAGTCCTGGAAAATTATAATAAATAGTGCCCAGTCGTAAAAAAGAGAATAAAAACATAACAATATTTGGAATATTTAAGGACTGTGTGTATTTCCCTTCTCTTAAAATGTCCTCTTCAAGACATCAGTGACTTGTAATATTATATGGTTTGTCGTGTTCATAGATTTCACTTAATAGTTAATAGTTGAGCACTCCCACATTTTCAGTTTGGAAAAAATCACCAACGGTGCCAATTTGGATTTAGCCCCAAAGAGATTTCCTCTCTCTGGTTGTCGGGGTGGTCAAATCCAACTCTGACCAGCTGGGATAGAGGGATAATCTGTGTGTAAAAAAAAATCACTTGTTTTAATTACACACTCACAGACACACAAATGCACGCACTCTTTCTCTTTCGCTCTCTCTCTCTTTCATACACACACACACACACACAAATGCACATACATAGTACACGTGTGGACATACATGCATTAACACAACTACGCAAACACACACTATACTTCCCCATATATCTCATAATAGACAGCTGCTTACTTTGAATATCATTTGGATTTGTGCATGAAATGCCAGAAAAATGTGACTTGACTGAATGTGACTTAGTAATTGATCTGATTTTTAAGCGTTTGGACATGTGGCGGAGATTAAAGCTTCATCAGAGAGAGCAAACATTTTTTAAAAGATTAAAAAGGCACTATGTCTAATTACAAAATGCAGTAGTGAAACACAGCAATGTCAACGTAATGCATTACAAATAGTCTACATATTATGTAGACATGCTAAACTCTAATAAAAAAGACATTTCCTGTATTGCATGTTCTATCTGTGGCAAATTCAAATAACATTTAGATAAAGAGGATCGTGAGTCACATTGTGTCGCGTCATCATCAGTCAAAGAGATAAATGGGAATTGAATTCTTTATTTCTACTAAACATGACACACTCTCTTTAAATCGACCGAAGACTTAAATATATCAAATGCACTACTGTTATTACTTAAAGACTTTATTAGTAAGAAAAGGGAGAGGTTTTTGAGCAAGGGTATTAATGTAAAACATTAAGGAAATACATACAAAATCAGGAATTATTTTTATAAAATACAAATGTTATAAATATAGGCTACTGAGGATGACAAAAAAATTACAATCCAGTAAATGGGACACTCTATTTAAGGTTTAATAAAATTCTACTTCAAGTCAGCATTTCGTCTGCCCTGGATGTTAGCTGTAAGCTTCCTTGGGGAAATGTTTAAACCCTGTGCTGCTGGGTGGCTGATGGTGGTACAAATCGAGGTTGGCTTCACAAAAAGGGCTGAGAATCTGAGTAGAGGAAATAGCCTTTTTAACTACAAGAGGATCCTTCTGTCACACAATAGGCACTGCAGGGATTTACTTGGTGTCATGGGCCGTAACACTGTCCAGATGGTCTGATGAAGCACTATCTAATTACTTTTCCAACGTTCCCTTTATTTCTGATGAATACTAACCGTTAGAAAGACTGCACTGCCACCACCAGGGGATTGTTGCACCTACAGTTACAGAATGTAATGGCAAAAATAAGCTTTAAAGTTTACTTTCAAAACGGATACATATTCAATGCATAGTTAATTTAAAAAAGGAGGTAAACAAACATTTGTGTATCTTTGCTGATTTACTAGGTGTTTAAGATTTTCTGAGCTCACAAAGTGAAAAAATAATCCTCGTTCTTTTGAGGTCATACATAAAAAAAATAGTCAAGCAGCCAACAGGAAAATACACACACTGACTGTGTAGCCAACCAGAAAGAAACATGTACTTCTCCATTGTAGAAAGAAAATCATGAAGACTCGCCTTCCAATTAGGACAATCCCAATTACTTTTCAATGTAATTTTTTTGGGGGGGGAATGGCAGGCAAAAAATACTGGGACATTTGTATCATCATCATTGTTATTGTTTTAATTGTTACCTACACTGTAGAAAAATAGACAATGCCATACATGTAGGTCCTACACTCCTACATTGCATTGCATTGTCTATTTCTCTACACTGCCGCCCAGTAGGTGGCCGTAAAACGCCTTTAAGCTGGTTTTCTAAACACCAACGAAGAAGAAGGAAGTGCAAGCATCGAGTTGCTGAATTAGCTGTTAGAAACTATTTTTCACAGAAAGCCTCTAAAAAAAGAACATGTTCTAAATTAGAAGACATTCCTCTGCATCAATTCAACTTGTGTAACTCTTAAAAGGGAAACAAATGGGTAAGCTTATGTGTTTTGTTGGGTTTATGTAGGATTGTTTTGGTGTTGTTAGCTTGTCTGCTAACAGCAACTTCCTAGATCTCAACTAATAACATTCATTTTACTGGAGGTGTTTTAGACACAACGCGAAAGGAAGAAGCTATTGCAGTTTACATTATATTTAATGTATTTGGTGCATGTATCCAGCAGAGGAATTACGTTTCTGAAAAATAGTTTTTTGTTTGTTTTTGGCCTTAGTTAATGTTTCACAAATGATTTTTTTTTAAAACGTTGGTTGGCTGCCGATAACACAACAATGGATAAACCAAAATAAAAATAATTGCACCTTTCAGGCTATAATTGGTTCAGCTTCTTCAAGTAAAGTCAAACTGAGGTTGAAGTGTTTTTTTTTTTAACTTGTTGATGTGTTTAAAAGTTAGATTAGCCTATATGAACCGTCTTATAACAGAAGCAGGTGTTTTCATCACTTTTGCTCTCAGTACATCCATTTACTAACAATAGAGAGACTGTACATTAGTTTGGATGCTTTATATTTCTGGTGTGAAAGCATATTTAAATGCAATAATGCTTCAGTCCCCTCTCCCCCTTGCAGAGGGCCCCCTGCCCCTGTCCTCGCTCAGGCTCCTGGTTCCACCACTGAGGATGATGACGGCTGTGATGTGGAAGGTGGTTCGTCTGAGAGACATAATGCATTATGGGAAAGTGGAGGAGTTTGTTTCCTTGGTGACTGAAGCCATCCCTGACATCTTTACAGAGAGACAGATGAGACTGCTCACTCTGGGCCTAAGATCAAAGGCAAGTGATTCACATGGACTATACTTTTTTTTTATTGAAATAAAGTTGTTTTTTGCAGATCCAAGCTGGAAAAAGTTACACTTCACAAATGATCATGTTAAACCTTTTTGTATTGTTGGTGTTTGTCTGATTGCTGTTGTTGATATAAGTATTTTAGTCTTTATAATTGTTCTTTAGATAAGATTCCGTTTTCATTTCATGACTTTAAGTAATGCAGTTAATCTTCTCTAGAGGCTAACTACTTTTGTTTATCAATAAAACTAGAAAAAAATCTAGATATTTAGTTTAATATAATAATTATACATTTTATATATCAAGCGCTTTATAAAGATCTCGAAGCCTCTTTACAGAGGTAAAAAAAATATATAAGATACAAATAAATATGATAGAAATAGAGAGAAAAAAGAGGAAATCTCTACATTTAAGCATTTTTTTCTGTTCTTTTTGCATGAAAATGTACTTATTTACTTCATTTACTTACTTCATTTCATTTACCCTCTTCAGATAATAAAAGCTTAATGGAAATGCTTTACGTTTTGCACCTTTTCTTAATTTTATTATTTCTTTATTGTTGTTTGTAGCTACAATTAGGGGATTCTGGATGTCCCCTAATTGTTAATAACTCCTGTTAACATCTTTCACCAGATGATGTTACAGATATTAAGTTCTGAAAAGCCAGAGGACTTCACAGATGTTAAAACACGTTTGGACAGCCTGATGCCATCCACCTCAAAACTGGTGTGTGACTTTTTAAATCACCGACATTCAAACGTTGTCTGTATAAGAATGTTCTGCTAATTCTATATGTTTTGATATGACTTTAAAGGTGCATCCAGGAAATGAAGCGATGGAATCCAACTTTGTCAAGCTTTTTCAGAGACTCCTGGACGACCCAAAAGGGAGAGAACACTTCCTCAAGGTGTGATTCTGCTTTCACCCTTCGTTAGTTTTGACATGAAAAGTAGCAATTTGCTTGAATGGTCAAATAGTATCTCGGTGTTATATCCATGCTTATGGTTTAAATGTTCCTCTTCACAGAATGTGTTTCCGGTGGAGTATGGGTCTGACTTTGACACAGCTCTGGAGACGGTGTTTTGTGAGTTCTTCACCAGACTGGATAAGTTGCTGCTTATACCAGACTTTAAGCAGGTAAATAAAGTAACGTACGCCATAAAATTGCACTTAATAAAATAATTTTCAGGTTTTGGTTGTCTGGTTCAAGCCTGTTAAAATAATACTTATTTTTTCATTGATAAAGACAGAAATGTTGATTGGTGACACACCCTCTGCGCTGGAAGAGTCCATGCAGTGTGCATCCAAAGCCGATGACCTCAAAGTACTGCTTAGAAGCAAGGCCCATCTTAGTCAAATGTACACAATGGATACCAGTGGTAAGTCAGTGTGCCCGGGATACAACCATTTTTAATGTACAAAATAGTGCCTCAAACAAACTGTCAATTAACTAAAGATCAATCCATAAGACATTTCTCAAGCACAAACTAGTGGTCATTTAGATTAATGATTATTCCGTGGATTCTTGTCTTAATGATTCATCGTTTTGTCTAGAAAATGTCTAAACATGTATAGATATAGATATTTACTTTAAAGGGATGATTTCGGGGGTTTCCCTTTCCTGTACAGTGTTATATAGGTTTTTGTGACCCCGCCCCCCCCTGCCTGAAACGCCTCCATCTGACTCCTTTGTTTACTTTTGTAACATAGTGATATCACTATGTCACCCTTGCGCTTCTATTGGCTAGCACTCCAACATTGTACATGATAGGCTAAGGGGCGGGACATCTCTAAGCGGTTGACCATTCACAACAGAGCCGACTGGGCTCTGGTTTCAGACAGAGGGTGAAAAGAGGTGCTGCTGCACAGGCAGTATGAGAACAATTAAGAGCTTTTTGAACATTAAAGCATGGAGACATGTCACAGTAGAGGCACAAATAAACCTGAAAATATGATCTTTTTCAATGAAAGAAATGCAAATAAATAATCCTCACTTTTTTTGTTCTCTTTCCAAACAGTGCCCTCATCCTCGGAGCAGCTGCTCTTTCGTCATTATCTTTCCCTCCTTCACTGCCAGAGACAAATGCTCAAGACTTAGAATCTAATACACAAACATTTCTGGAGCAAGAAGAATCTGAGGCTATTTCTCTTCAGGACGCATTAAATATGGAGATACAGGATGTGATATGGCCATCTGAGGATGACGTCATCATTCTAGAGAGCAGCAATGCAGGACAAACAACAGGAGGGAAATGCAGCGACAGCGTTCCTGATGCTCTCACTTTGGAGGAGTATGATAATGAAGCTTCAGACAGCTTCCATTCTCCCTCTACATCTGCCAATAGTCCCGCGTCGTCCAGTTCAATGATTGCCCCTCCACGGCAGAGAGTTGCACACAAATGCAGTCATTGTGGAAAATGCTTCATTTACCGCTACAAACTCCTGGAGCATCAGAGGCTGCACACCGGAGAAAACCCTTACAAGTGCTCTCAGTGTGGGAAGTCCTTCAGAAGGAGCTGTGACATGTCGTCTCACAGGCGGACACAGTGCACACAAGCTGCTTATATATGCCTTAAATGTGGGGATAGCTTTCAATCACTAAAGGACAAATTAAGACACCGGTGTGGCCGCATCGTCCAATGGTTTGACTGTTCTCAGTGCGGTAAAAGCTTTAAAAAAATGCACTTGCTGAATAAGCATGAGCGGACCCACACAAAGATCTGCAACTTCACGTGCAAACCGTCTGGGCAGGAGTACCCCAGTATGAGTGAGATGAGGAGCAACCAGATGAGTCATCTTCCCAAGATTTCCAAACAGTGCAAGCGATGTGGGGAAATGTTCAGCTCTGTCGCCCGTTTGACAAAGCATGAGCTGCGCCACAAGAAACAGGACCAAAAGATTTGTGGGGAATGTGGCAAAGCTTTCAAGAGCAAATATGAAGTGTCTCTTCACATGCGCTGTCACACAGGTGAGAGGCCGTTTCAGTGCACGTACTGCGGCAAAGGTTTCTCCAGATCGGGTAACCTGAAGATACACTTAAGGATCCACACGGGAGAGAAACCATATCTTTGCTCTGACTGTGGCAAGGGTTGTATGTCAGCCGGCGATCTGCAGATACACAGACGCATCCACACAGGGGAAAGACCATACAAGTGCACTGACTGTGGGAAGGGATTCACCACCGCAAGCAACTTGACAGTTCATATGCGGGGTCACACTGGAGAGCGCCCTTACATCTGTTCCATATGTGGACAAGGGTGTATTACTGGCACAGTATTAAAAATACATACTTTAAAACATACTGGTTTTAAACCCTACCCTTGTCATATATGTGCAAAGGCTTACACAAACCTCACTCACCTGAAGAGACACTTGAAAAAAACTCACAATGTAGTGCAAAACCAGACTGTCTAATTGAATAAAGTACCATATGCCACTTTTAGCAAATTAATGTGTTTTCATGCAACTAGCCTGGACTCATTTTTGTGATACGTTTATAAACTTGGTTTTCACTCCATCTCTAAGTAAGGACTATGTTTTCAAAAGATTTGGTCCTGGCTGTTTCATTTACCTGTGTTGTTGGATCTGTTCACATTGTAGCCTACCGTGTACAATTACGACATTTGTGTTTTCAATTTTGTTCTGTGAATCTGTCAAACATGTTTTAAATTGTCTCTAAGAAAACAGAGTAAAAATTGCTACTAAGTGTATGGAAGTTCCCTGTGTTTGTGTCTAGCTGCAACATTCGTACTTAAACCCAACATGAAACCACTTGAACAATATTAACATTAATAATAATTTAAAAAATGAGACAACCAAAAGATAATTCACCAAGAAATAAAGTTCCTGTAATCTTGACAAGCTGAAACACAGAGACTGCTCACTCTGAGCCTATGAGTAAAACACATTTATGAAAAACATTTTACATTAGAATTATAAGGGATGCAGGAAAACAGTTTTTCAAATTGAAACATTACTTTAAAGATGTAGTTATATGATTGTCCGTAGAGGCGGTGCGTCTCATTTTGCAATAGAGAGAATATGAATGTCCCTATCCGGGCTGCCCCGTGATGCAAAACGAACCTCCCTGCTAAAAGCGCGCAGCTAACGCTCCCAGGATGAACAGCGTGTTTCAGGAAGAAGTTGGCGCCTGAACCGTGTATGCGGTTAGCTAGCACGCTAACCGAAAGTATGCATGATAGCACACTTAATAATTGTTCTTTCCAACGTTATAAGATCATTCCAAAATGAACGACGCAGGTATGTATTAGCTTGCTAGGCTCGGTAAAACTGTGTGTAGGCTATATCACTTGTGCGGCTAGCCGAATAGCCATAGCGCAGGATTAGCCGAGGCATAGCAGGCCTTGTCTAATCCCTGGAACACGAATTGTTTTTCCCAATAATGAGTCGGTTTTACCACACATCAGCGGCCTTGTGGCTAGTGGTGATGCTAGCTTACGCTTGGGCACAACAAGCAAATATGTATTGTTAGGTATATTTACGGTCGAAAACGCAACCCAACTGTTAGGTACTTGTGACTGATAGTTAGTCGGATAATTAGCGTAATTTGACATATTACTGAGGTGATGCTAACAGCTAGCTGTTTGCAAATTGTTTATGTTTAACTATACGTTATCTCATTTGCCATTTCGCGCAGCGACGGGTGCACTGTAAACGCATTGCATGTGTTTATTTTAGCATTTAAGGAACATCCTAACGATCAAAGCTGTAACATGCATTGGGTGGTAGAAGTCAGATGTATGCACACAGCCGTGGTGCGTTAGATAATGCACCCTACAGGGCTGTATACCACACTAGCCAGTGCATCTCAGGGATGGGGTGCTGTACTGACCCTAAAGTAAGATGTATTACTTTCACACTATCACACACTGATAAGGAAAGACGTTTTTTGTTTCAAATTAGCACTAGAGTGTATTCCCCTTCCACTTTAATATAAATACATATATCAAACCGGATATTAATTACAGTCGACATCTTCTACTTGTACTGTACTGTACCCAATATACAAGCTGTTAATAAACTTTTCAATCAATCAATCAATTCTACATAGTCAAAATACAATATATTCAACATTAAAAAGTGACTTATTATGACGTAATTATCAGCAGTTTCAGAACAAGGTTCCCAAATAGTTTTAAGGTTTGTTTGACCCAAACTATTTTTCTAATTTAGAAGAGTTCAGTGTCCCCCTTTCCTCGCTGGCGCTCCTGGTCCCACCACTTCGCCTGATGTCAGCAGTGATGTGGGAAGTTGTTCGCCAACGAAACATAAAGCACTATGGGAAACTGGAGGAGTTTGTGACCATGGTAACAGATGCAGTTCCTGAGCTGATGAGTAAACGGGAAGGGAGACTGCTCTCACTTGGCCTGAGGGCAAGGGTAAGTGTTTTGAAATGTGTATAACATCATGTGTTTAATGAGAACTATTCAAATGAGATAGGGTTATCATGAAAACATTATATTCACAATTGAAATGTCCTCCAGACAACTCTTGAGCTGTTGCGTTCTGAACACCCTGAAGATCTCAAGGCTGTTGAGAGCCACTTGAACCGAATCCGAACTTCTTGCATTGAGGAGGTGAGTGTTTCGGTTGCAGCACTGAAAGGATAAGACAACTAAAGCTATAAATAACAGCATAAACCGATTCTGTAGCTGTTTTGATCATTAATTAATAGTTTGACTAAATATTTTAAGCAAACATGTTGAAACAGTGACTGGTTCAGACTGCTCATTTCATGCTTTTTATGTAGTTAGTAGTAAATCTGATATAATTTGGTTGTTTGAATCGTGGTTGGACGAACTGCACTCGTTTTACTTTGTAGACGGTTCCTATTGTTTCTATAATCTGTGTGTTTTTTGTTTTCTGACCCAGACAAATGATCCTGTCATTGAAGCACCAGAGGCTAACTTTATGAAGCTGGTGCAAGGCCTCATTGAAGACACGGATGGCAGAGAACACTTCCTCAAGGTCAAATGTTATGTCATTTACATAGTGCTCTTAACTCAAATGTTATAAATTCATTTCTTAATCACAATTTCACCAAACAAAATTTGACCGAGGAGATGTTGATCTTTCCTGTCCGATTCTAAAGGAGTTTGCCATGTGCTGAGGGTGCCACTTTTTGTTTTCTATGTAACAGAATGTGTTTCCAGTGGAGTATGGCCCTGATTTCGACACGGCACTGGAGACTCTGGTTTGTGAGTTTTTCACCAGACTGGAGGAGCTGCTGCCAATCCCTGATTTCAAACAGGTACTAAGAGGATTAGATAAATAAAAAGTAACCTTGCACGGCAGCTGGATTCTTACAATATTGAATGATCACATGAACATCGATCTTGTCAGTAGGGCATGGATATAAATAAGCCCACATGTCTCAATTACCAAATCGATTCTTTTAAAGGGTATTATACATCTAACCACATGTACAAATCCATCCTTACTTTCCTTTCTTATTTCAAACCTGTCTCTACGACCTATAGAGCTCAGCCTGAAACGCTCAACCGACCAAAAAGAAGCAAATTTGAGACATGTAGCCCTGGCCAGCTTTGCATTTCACATTACAAAAATTGCAGCAACCATTGTTTGCATCTAGTTTTAAACATGCAAGTGCTTTGGGCCCTGCATTCACTGAGAAGCTGCTGCGACATTATCCTGCTCTCTTTCACTGTATCTCACCCAGATGCGCTCTCAGGCAAAGAAATACGCTACCCTTAAAAGTAAAGTACAGACTTCAATGCTTAAACGTATACTTGTCAAGCTTCAAGTATTGCATATCTGTCCATACAACTATTGTCTGGAAAAATGTACGCCTAGCTATGGGCATGGTTTTTATGACACAGAGAGGCGTCTGTGGTGCATGTGGTGCCTCAAAATGAATCGGGAGACCTGTCATCTTGTGTTTGAAAATGCTTCCTTTTTTGGACCTCCCTTATATAGACGGCATCCTGGATCAGCGGGGCCCCCTCTGTCCTAGAAGAGTACATGCAGTGTGTCTCAAATGGAGACGACATTAAATTTCTTCTCCAGAGCAAACAGTGCCACGGGAAACTGGCTAAGAGTACAATCGGTACGTGCACAATTTACATTTGCTAAGAACTAGTCGACATACAGTTTTTGAATTGAAGATTTTTGTTAACAATTTGTTTCCCTCCCTGCAGCTCCGTTTCCGCCAGATGATCTTCTCATTCCCTCTCTGTCTCTTCCTCCATCGCTTGAAGTGGCCATCTCTTCCCACCCGAGTGGTTGTGACGACGAAAATAATGACGTTCCTCAGATCGTCATGTTCGATGAAGAACTGTCCACAAACCCTTCCACCTCGACAGACTTTCCCGAATCCCCAAAAAGGACTGATATGTTACCGTCCCCTCGCAGGAGACAATCAGGGCTGCACAAATGTCCAGAGTGTAACAAATGTTTCAAGCACCACTCCGTTCTCACCGAGCACCAGAGGGTCCACAGTGGGCTGCAGCCCTACAACTGCTCGGAGTGCGGGAGGGCTTTCAGGACAGCCACTCTGCTAGCCGGTCACAGGCTACGGAAATGCAAAAACGCCGCTTATCTGTGCATCAAATGTGGGAACAGTTTTCCGACCTCACTGGACAAATTCCGACACCACTGCCCAAAACGTGGCCGTAGCTACGATTGTGGACACTGCGGAAAGAGTTTTCAAAAGTCCAGCAGTTTGAAGGAACACCTGCTGACTCACGTCCAAAGCCGCCTTTTCAAGTGCAGTCATTGCGGGGTAGGTTTTTCAGGAATCGGTGACTTGAAGTATCACCAACAGGTAGATCATGACAAGCCTTATCAGTGTAAGCAATGTGGGAAGAGCTTCATCTCCTCCAAGTGTCTGACCAAACATCAGCAACGACACGAAGAGGGCGGAGAAATGGAGAGTGTCAAATTAATGAGTGGAGGCAAACACAGGAAGAGTGGCTCCGCCCATCGGACTTCCTCCTCATCTATGTCCTCCAGGAAATCCTCGAAAGCTGCATACCCGCGAGGACGAGTCACGCATAACTGTCCACTGTGTGGAAGGAGCTTTAAATACCGTTTCGAATTCCTCGAGCACCAGAGGTTCCACACCGCGGTGAAGCCTTACAGATGCTCGCAGTGTGGCAAAGCCTTTCGCACGGAGGCTCACCTCTCCAGGCACAGGAAGAGGAAGTGTAAAAATGCGTCCCACATTTGCACCAAGTGTGGGTGTCAGTTCAGGTCCCTCCACGAGCGGGTCAGACATCAGTGCGTCCAGCTGCTGACCAAATACGAGTGCTCTCATTGTGGGAAGACCTTCAAGATGGCCCACCTGCTGAGGAACCATCAGATGAGCGAACACCAGCTTCCCTACAGCGCCAACCATCGCTTCAGGTGCAGATACTGCGACGAGACGTTCCCCGGCATCAGCGAGCTCAAATACCATCAGAGGGTTGACCACGAGAAACCCTATCAGTGTCAAGAGTGCGGCAAGTGTTTCCTGTCTGAGAAATGCCTGGCCAACCACGAGCTCCGACACAACGACGACCGACCGGAGAGCTGCCTGGTGTGCGGCCGCGGCTTCAGGAACCGCTATGACTTGAAGCAGCACATGCGCACTCACACGGGGGAGCGGCCGTACCAGTGCACTCACTGTTCGCAGTGTTTCTCCACAGCGGGGGGGCTGCGGAGCCACACCAGGGTTCACACGGGAGAGAAGCCGCACGTTTGCCCAGATTGTGGTAAGGCTTTCTCCCAAATGGGTGCAATGCGCACGCATAGGCTCACGCACACGGGAGAAAGGCCTTTCAAGTGCACAGTGTGCGGCAAAGGTTTCACAATGGCACACAAAGTGACTGTTCACATGCGCGTGCACACAGGGGAGCGCCCGTACGTTTGCACGCAGTGCGGGAAAGCCTTCTCAGATGGAAGTGTGCTGAAGCAGCACATGCTCAACCACTCAGGTGTGAGACCGTACCACTGCCAGATCTGTCCCAAGACCTACACCTGTCTGAACCACCTGAGGAGGCACCTGAAGAGCCACTCCAACATGAACTGAGCAGGACATTTCACACATTCACACCATTTGGCAGTTAGACTGCTACAGTTACAAAGGACCAACGAAACCAAGCAATACGTGAAGGAACATAAAATGATGCTGTTTAAATTGAGGTGAAATGTTTCCTCTTCTCTGTAAAGTAAATGTAGTCACATTACCCAATTGTGTAGGACTTTTTGAGCATTTAAAGGAATAGTTTGACCTTTTTGGGAAATCCACTGACTAATAATTATTTAGATAATCACATGAGAAGATTGATACCACTATTAGACTGTAAGCAAAGATAGATGACATTAGGGCTACCCTCAAGTGATGACATTAGGGCTACCCTCAAGTGATGACATTAGGGCTACCCTCAAGTGATGACATTAGGGCTACCCTCAAGTGAAGCCAAAGCATCTTTATCTCCCCCAAATCTACAGTACAGACTATAAACCCTCCATGTTACTGCACTATAAAGTCAAAACATACTTCAAATACAATTTGCCCAAAGATAGTTTCTGTCTTTGTAGGTAGTTCTTGTCACACAACGTGCATTCAGGTGTGGATCTTTCTGATTTATATTCAGTTATTTGATGCTATTAAAAGGGAGTGACATCATTATAGACAACTGTGATTGGCAGCTTGTCTGAGTAAAGTGATCACGGAGCAAGGCTACAGGCAAGGTAACAACGTGTACATTTCATAATTAAAGTATTTATAGCGATAATAAGGTTAGTTATCATATCAGCCAAACAGGTGCTAACATATCAGCTAGGTGGTTTATGCTAACAAACTGTGGCCCTGCTCAATACTGCGCAGAGTCCATCCCCCAATTATATTTTTGGTTAAGAGACATGTTGTCTATATACATAAACTCTATGATGCCACTTTTCAGATAAAGTGGTATCAATCTTCTCTAACGTGGTAAGAATTCAACTATTTCCTTTACGTTAGCACATACTCTTTCTTTCCCCTCAATACGCATCAGACTGAATTATTTTTGACCAACAGTTTCTTATGCATGAATATGTTTGGATAATATTCCAGATATTATTTCGGTGAATGTGCAGAAACTGTAATATTGGTGAAAATATATGTTTGCAAAGGCGTTGGCTGTAAATATACTGAGAGAAATGTGTGCGTGCCTGAGAGGTTCAATGGTTTATTTCAACATGAAATAACTTTATTCCTGCAGGCCTTTCATCTCACCCAATTATGGTTTGCAAGGTTCATGAATTTCACATTAAATTCCCATGGTAGTACCTTGTGTTTGTTGATACCATTTTGTTAAACAAAGGAAAACTGTTAGAGTTGGGAGGAAAAATGGTGGAAGTTGCAAAGGGAAATTTGAAACTGCATTTGCTTTCTGAATAAATGTTTCACTAGATGGCAGCAGATAACCAGTAACATCTCCCCCTTACACGTTAAGGGGTAAGACAGTTATAGGCATAGGGATGAAATTAAGAATGGCATTAATCAAGAATCATCTGCTTCTCTGCCGGCTCTAGACGATTAAAATATGTCTGAGAGATGAGAGGTTGATAAGGGACTACAGCAGGGGAAGTTGGCCCGGCCCATTTCCTGTCATTAGCCTAATTTGGAGGGGTTTGGTATTCTGATTAGCCAGCAATTTCCTGATGTTTTGACTGGCGCCGAGCAGTATCTGAAGTGGTTTAAACCAAAACCAAAACAAGTCCTCGCTTTGTGTTGTGTTTTCACAGTGCCATTCAGCCCCAACAGTGTTTCCAGAGACCTTGTCAGCATATGTAGACTTACGTCATAGCGTTACAGACACAGTGTGATTAATCTCTTCCATCTGTGCTGTACTGACTTTCATGTTTTTCGCTGGAAGAAAGGCTTTCTCCCCCACCCTCATTTCCCCCTTGTGTTTCATCTCATCCATGTTTTTCATTTGCATATGAATCATATTCTCTTAAAAAACCAAAAGATGTGCCATTCACATGGAGATGAATGATGTGGAGGCTCGTTAAATGTTGCAAGATGTTAAACACCACACTATTCCGTCTCTCTTTGACTCACAACTGCTACTAATCTCCTCCACTGAACATCAGGATCCTGTGGAAACTCACTCTGCATCCTGTGCCTGGGACATTATGCAGAGCATGCTCTCAGATTTAGGAAGCATAGGAGTTCTCCTTTTCTTCATGTTAGGAGCTTTATCTTGACCTTTTGAGGACAGACCCCAGTTGTTTCTCCTCTGGGGAAAAGATAATGACTCCGAGGTAATTCACTGAACTCAAAGCCGCGAAGGACCGTTAAAAGATGCCTTCCTTTGAAAAACATCACCATGCGACTGTAAAACACTCATAAATGCTTGGCTAATGAATTCCTCACGATTTTTGTATTGCTTAATGTATTCCTGATCCTGTTATTGAGACATTTCAAAAATAAATGCATCACAATTTACACCCTCCCCCCCCCCAACAGCTGCCAGGAATCCAACAGATTTACTATGAGAGCCTGCTAATAAATGCAGATCATTCCCAGATGTCCCCCCTCCTCTCTCCTCATCATCCCTCCTTTCCTTCCCTCCTTCTCCTCACAACTTTTCCTCCATGAAAAGGTGATCTCAGTGGAAAATCTGAGTCCAGGCCTTCCTCACAGTTTGAGCTCAACACACAAACATGTCCACAGCAACCACCCACATCAACACCTTGCCAAATGCCCACGCCTCCACACATCTCCATGGAAGTGCCTCACTGCACCCCGAAACTCTTTCCTAAGTCCTGTCCAACATTTGTTCTCGAGAAGCACTAGATGGCACTGTGTCTCTTCCTGCTTCTGGGGGGAAATGACTAAAGACCCCCACCCTCCTCCTCCTCATCTTGCTTTTATGTTCAGGTCAGGTCTGGATGTTGAAATGAACCAGATGTATTCAAACCCCACCCATCTCCCAAAGAAATTAGAGACTTTTCCAAAGAAAGGGAATACAAATGCTTCCAATATGGGTCAGCTGCTTTTCATTAAGTTTGATGAAGTGACTCAATTCTATTCTTGTTCTTAATTTTGTACATGGCATATTATGCTCACGACACAAAAGCACCACAAACGTCTGATTTGTCATTTTAAATGTCCTGAAATTATTACAACACAATCCAGATCAGTTTTACACGCACTCTCCTCCCTGCAAAGAAGAATATGTGCACATCAGAGCATCCTCTCCAAGTTAGCAGATGTGTTGTTTATTCCTGAGTATCCACGTCCCTTTCGCCCTTTTAAGGAAGCATGCATATCTGGAATTTTGTGTGAACTTTTTAATCCGTGCGCGTTCTCGTCCAATCCTTACCGCCCGTCCCCAGTGAGAGCGCGTGAACTCTATCCTCCTCCCTCTCCTCCCCCCTCCTCCCTCTCCGTGCGCGCTGGTCCTCCTCTGCGCGCTCTGTGGATCCCCTCGGACAAACTGCGGCGGAGCGCTGGATCACCAAAAAGTGTGCCGAATCGGTGTATTGGGTTTGAGGTCGCAGTGTTTCGAAATTAATTTGTTGTGGGTATTGTGTTGTTTTGTGAATTATTATTAGTTTTTTTTTCGCCGTTTAACCATGGAGACGTTGAGAGGTCTCCTTGCACTGCTCTGCGTTTTCCTGGCCGAAGCGCAGACAACGACCCAAATAAACAAGTTTGCGGGTAAGTTTGCTGAAATATGTTCCAAGAAAAAAAAATGCTACTGTTACTTATGATCATGGCTTTTTCTTGCATGTTAACATTTCGTTGTGTTTGAATGCAACATGTCATACAGAGTGAAGAGATAGTCCAGATGTTCCTTGTCTTTTGCTTCCCTAAGTGGGAAGCCTTAAAAGGGCGTACAGATGCAATATAAACTGTAAATAAGATCAGAATATGACAGTAGCCTAGCCCACTTTAAGCAAGCCCTTGTTTGATCCCATGGTTGTCTTAATATGCTAAGAGCTGGGTGGGATGCAGACTAAGAAGTACCAGTGCTGTGAATGCAAAGTGATACATTTGGACACATTGCAGGTGATGACCTCAGGCCTGCTGCCTTGCCAAGTTACAGTGCATAAGGGCCAGTACAAGTGTAGCTACATGCAGACAGCTATGAGTGTATAGGTATTTAGTACAGGCCTGCCCCTGTCTACCTGTATAGATGAATGTATCAAGTAAATTGCCAGCGTTCTCCAAAAAGCATTGTGTTAAAATGAGGTTGGCCTGTAAAGCCCACACTCTATGAGTGACACCTGTGCTAGCATCACTTGAATTGATAGATGGATAATAAGTTGGTAATGCATGGGTTTGCTGCTTCATAAACACTTTGTTGGTGTTATGCTTGTTCAATGCATGCATCGTGTTTGCTGACAGCGATCTTTGTTTGTTTATCTGTTTTTTTATTTGTGTGTTCAGATTGTCCGGTTGACCTTTTCTTCGTGCTGGATACATCCGAGAGTGTCGCCCTCAGACAGAAACCTCCCAACTTTTATATTGACCAGATCAAAAAATTCACCACTGACTTTATAGATGAACTCAAGGACATGTAAGAAACACACACACACACACACACACACACACACACACACACACACACACACACACACACACACACACACACACACAACACACACACACACACAAACAAACAAACAAACAAACAAACAAACAAACAAACAAACACACACACATAGCCATACACACACATACAAGTAAATGTTACTCACTTAAAAACGTACTTCGCTTCCACAGTGGTGTAACTTAGCATGCTGCAGTGATGTACAGGTGTACTTTGGGGACACTATGACATCACCACACACAACCACACCCCCCACTGACTGGTACTATTAACCACAGCTTGGTGTTAACCATAGACTGTATATAAGATGGACATTGTCACTGTGACGTCTCTCATTGTCATGTAAAATATAATTTAGTCGCCTTGAGTTTGGCTGATTCTGTTAGCATGACAAACGCTACATTTCACGTTAAAGCTAACGCTAGCTTGCTTAGCAAAGTGCATGCACCATCCTTTAATTTGTACATGTTTCGCTGTTCACAATGTTGTACGACTCCTCCCTTTTATTCTAATGAGAAACCTTTGTTCTGTTATATAAAAAAATCAGTGTCCTGGTTGAATAATATTGACCAGTTTTCCAGTATTTAGCCAAGTTTCAGTTAAACAAAAGACTTAACAGTTCTTGCTATCCAGTTCAAAACTGGTCAACAAATGCTTGCCCATTGCAAGCAGGCGCCTGATGTTAGATTAACCGTCTAGGTAGCCATGTTGTTTGTCCAATATATACAATTCTCCAGACACATCAAACCCGGCAGAGATATAAAGTTCAGTAACTCAAATAAACTTAGGTGATGCATAGCAGACAGCTGCTATGACAGCTCACTCCTATCACTCCCTAAAGAAGGCATAACTTTGATCTTAATATAATTTTAACAGGTCAGTTACCACATTTCAAATACTGAAATTGTCATAAACAGATAGCTACAATATGGAGCCATAGGGACCAAAAGTGTTACAGTTGGCCATTTTAACATGGGGGTTATTGGAGATTGACTCGCTTTTGGAGCCAGCCTCGAGTGGCCATTAGAGGAACTGCATGTATTGGCACTTCCTCGTTGACTTCCTTCTCCAGCCCTGGAGGTTGCTTCATATTGTGTGAATTATTGTCCACAAAGTATCTTTAAACATAATTACAACGGTCAGTGTCCTAATATTATGATGCTTTAATATTTTATTATTACAACTACTTCATCATAATTCATCATCTCTCACTCAACCATAGGAGGTATGTCAAGTCAGAATTTGCAAAGAAAATAATAACTGATGCTGTTTGATAACTCAAGAATGAAGTGTATCATGGAGCAAATTCCACTACTGCCTCTCCGTACCATACTGCATTAAGTGAAGCTGATAGCTGTACTGTAAGATAACTGTTACTAAGCCAACTATCTATTGCTTCAGGCGCCACCGATGTGACCGCATCCTGACGTGGAACTCAGGAGCGCTGCATTACAGTGACGACGTCAAACTGGTGCGAGCACTGAGTGATTTGAGGACTCAGCGCGAGGAACTGAAGGCCAACGTCATGGGCATCGACTACATCGGCAAGGGCACTTACACTGACTGTGCCATCAAGCAGGGCCTGGCTGAGCTGCTCATTGGGTAATATAACTCACACTAACATGAATACTCTAGCAGATTATGTTTAAGAGAAGTGTTAACATTTCTGAGTGTGTGTTTGTTTTGCAGGGGCTCCCACTACCATGAGAACAAGTACATCGTG